CCGAAATCCATGGGGGCGCCGAAAACAAAAAAATCACCGATAACCAAAACGGCGCCGAAAACCAAAGGAGCGCCGCAAACCAAAGGGGCGCCGAAAACCACGAGGGCGCCGAGAACCAAATGAGCGCCGAAAACCGAAAGGGCTCCGAAAACCAAAGGGGCGCCGACACCCAATGGGGAGCAGAAAATCAAACGGAGGACGAAAACTAAAAAGGGCGTCGAAAACTACAGGGGCGCCGAATATCAAAAATGAGACGAAAATCAAGAGGGCGACGAAAACCACAGGAGCGCCGCAATCCAAGAGGGCGCCGAAAGGTGACGATGCCCCGAAAACCAAAGGGTGCGCAGATAACCAAAAGGGTCGTCGAAAACCAAAGGAGCGCCGAAAACGACAGGAGCGCCGAAAACCAAAACAGTGCTGAAAACCAAAGGAGCGCCAAAAACCACAGGGGCGCCAAGGGCACAAGCGGCGCCAAAAACCAGTGAGGCGCCGACGCCGAAAACCACAAGTACGCCGAAAGCCAACGGGGCGCAGAAAACCAAAGAGGAAAAGTAGCTTCGACACCACCCCCCTTCAGCCAAGGCCCTCCAACTGAAAAAGCCAACTGAAGGAGGAGAGGGGGGGGGTAGCGTCGGAAGCCCCACATCCCTTTGGAAAGGGGAGCCCGGGCTTACCCCGGGCCCCGAAAACGAGGCCGAGGGTAGCTTCCAAGCCCTGCCCCCACTTTAGCCAAGGACCCCCCAGCTACAAAATCCAATTGAAAGGAAGGAGGGGGGTAGCTTCGGAAGCCGCCCCCCCTTTGAAAGGGGAGCCTGGGCTGACCCAGTGCCCCGAAAAGGGGGGGATCAGGGGGTTAGCTTCCAAGCCCCCCCCCTTTTAGCTAGCCCCCCCAGCAACAAAAAACACCACAAGAGGGGGAGGGGGGAGGTAGCTTCGCAAGCCCCTTCCCTTCCTTTTCCAAGGGAGGGTAGATGGGTAGCTTGAAGCTGGGGCCCCCCTTCTTGTGAGAAGTGTGCCACGAGCGCGCTTTTTTCTTATGTTCTGTTATGTAATGTTGTGGACTGACTGGCGCCACGTCGGGACGCCATTCACGTTTGCTATGACTTCTGATCGGTCATTGCTGCTTCAATTTGCTTCGGAGGTCAGCCTGGGCTTGGCGCGCATGTCGCGTATATAGGCCGCCAGTACTCGGTCTCTGCTGAAGTATACTCTGTCCTGTTGTGTGCGGTTATGTTCTGTTCTATGCACATCTGATTTTTCTGTTCTGATCTCGACGGGGCGGCGTGACCTCGTGACGCCTGTCGCGTTTGATATGTCGTCTAATCGGTCGCTGCCGCGCCTGTTTTTTCCTGAGGCCAGGTGCGGATGCTAGTACGCCTTCGATTTGTCTCTGCAATAGTTGTTCGTGTTCACTTATGTTATGCTCGAGAATGCACTGTCATGCTATGCTACACTGTGATATGTTATGTTGTCGACGCGGTGGCGTGACGCCGTGACGCCTGTCACATCAGATAGGTCGTCCGAATGATCGTTGCCGCGTCTCTTTGTACCTGTGGCCGGGCTGTCCTCGGTGCGCACATCGCGTTTCAGTATGTTCTGGTACGGTATAATATGATATGACATTCATGTTCACGTGATGTTTGTGTTGTTAAAATCTGTTCGAGTATGCTCACCACTGCCATTAAATGATTTGATATTTGAAATGATATGATGTGAACTGCTCTGTGGCGACACGTTATGACATGATACGAATGTCCTGTCAGGCTCGGTTATGGTGTGCTGCTATATGTTACGCTGTTCAGGGTACGCTCTGTTCTTGATCGTATAGCACACGAAGGTAAAGCCAATCAAGGAATAGCTGAGTCGTTGGCGTAGGGGTAGCTCAAGTACAACAATTATGTTATGTCATGCTGGTTACGGCGTGCTCTAGTTGTTGGCATGTGACATATACTGATGTGTTGTTCAATTACGTTGTGGTTCAATTACGTTGTGCTCAAATGTCAATATTGTTCTCGACGGGCTGGCATGACGCCGTGACGCGAGTCACGATAGATACGTCATCCGAGCGTTCGTTGCTGCGCCTGTTTGCTCCTGTGGCCAGCCTGAACTCGTCGCGCACGTCGCGTTGAATTTCACCGTAGTACAATACATTATGTTGTGATAAATTGTTTTGTCATGTTATGAAACGCTGAGATGATGTGTTATGCTCTGATGTGATATGCCATTGTGTGAAATCGTATGCTCTGTTCTGTTACGCCATCTTCTGGTGTGCTCTGCCCTTCTTTGCTATCATGCTCCATGATGTCATTGCATGCGTTCGTATGTCCTGTTCTGGCATGCTATAAAACTATATGCATTACTATGTGATGGTGCTGTGATATGATACGTCATGATATGATATAATGTGTTATGCCGCGCTCTGTAATGACATGAGTTAGTATGGTAAGTAATGTGTGTGAGTTGACGCTGTGCTATGGTGTGATATGTAATGCCATGCTAGGGTATGGTATGAATATTATATGCGATACCATCGCATGGTGTGGTATACTCTGCTATTATATGGTATGAGGTGTGGTGTGATGAACTGTTTTCTATGGTCCATTATGTCAAAGCGTATGGTGTCATGGTATGATAGGTTATGCCATTATGTATCATCGTATGCCGCGCTCTGTCATGTTATGGTATGTCATATGTACTGCGATGGTATATGTCATGCCACATACGGTGTGATGATGTACTATGCTATGCTATGTCATGTTATGTGAGACTGTATGTGAGGCTGTGCCACATTATGTTATGCGATGTTCAATTGCATTATCGCCTTGTTGTGTACTATTGTATGCTATGTTATGATACCACTCTGTCATGTTGTGAGTTGTCGGCGCGGAGCGGGACACTCGGGGAACCTGGGGATCTGGTGGCCGCGTTATGCAGAGGGGCGCGAGGCGGGACCCTCGGGGATACTCGAGAGCCTGGGGATCCGGCGGCCGCGGTACGCAGAGGGGCACGAGGCAGGACCCTTGAAGATATTCGGGAGCTGGGGATCTGGCGGCCGCGGTATGCAGGGGGTCGGGAGGTCTGCTCTTAAAATCCAACCACCCCAACCTGTCGGGTGGGGAACAACTGAACGCATGAAAAGCGACCCCCGCCCCACACATGAGGAACTTTAGACCAAGTGCACGGAACTGGCCTCGCTTATAGGGTGCCTACATTTACTCACCTTCGCCACAATTGCAAAACATGGACATCTAAAATCAATGGTTGTGGGGGCTGGGGTCGGTTCCCCACTGCTCACCAACCTCTGTCCTCGATCCTCCTCCTCCTCGTCCTGCCCCTCGTGAGCACAGCAAGTGCGCCCTCCGGCGGACTGCGACGCAGAGCCGTGCGCGCCCCCCCCCCAGGATCCTGGCCCCGCGGAGGCCCTTGGAGGCCCCTGGCGGTCGGAGATCCCGGGAGGCCCGACAAGGGGCCGAAGACGTCCAATGGCCGCCCGAAAACTTTTGAAATCCATCCGCGATCCTCGAGGAGGGCCGGGGGCAAAAAACTTAGGAGTTCGGCGGCGAGCGAGGCGGGGGGGATGAAAGAAGGAGAAGGGGACTTCTCAGAAGCCCTCGCGCCTTCTGAGAAATTCTCGGTGTCTTCGGGGAAGGCATGGAAAACTTCACGGAAGGCTCGGGGACTTCCGAGCGAAGGCCCGCCCGCCCCTTCTCACTTCCCCCCCGCTCGCCGCCGAGGAGTGTCCTTCGTGGCGACCGCCAGCGCCCCAGATGAGCGTCCTGCAGCCCGCCCCCCGCTGCCAGCACGAGCAGTGCCCGCCCAAGGGGCGGGGCCGCAGGGGCGGGACCGCGGGGCCCAGGGAAAGCGCCCGGCTTGACGCGGGCGCGGGCGAGCGCAGAAATGCGACCGAGGATTGGCCAGAAGACTGAGCGAGGAGACGGCGCCCACGGGCCACCTGACTTTGAGCACTGCGCCCTGCGAGGCGCCACAACAAAATGCAGACATACCCCCGACGGTGCGCATCTCCTTTGCATTCAGGGAGGGTGGCGGTGTACAAAATCGCTGGCTCTTAGCAGGAGCTCATACACCGCAACCCTCCCCTGAGACCCAGGAACAATCCACTGGGGGGCGGCTGCGTGTGCATCCACGGTGCATTCAGCACGTAGTGTAGCGCCTCAAGGCTCATGCAGCCCTGAGAGACATAGGGGTTGCAAGGTTCGTAAGGGCCCGGATCCCCGATTTTGCAGCCGCTGCTGGGAACTCCTGGGAACTCGTGGAGCTCCCGGAAACTCTCGGGAGATCTCACGAACTGCCTAAGCTGGCCAGAAACGGGCCTGGAGCGCTGCAAGACAGCTTCAAGACGGCCCAACGTGCCCCCAAGACTTCCCATGGGGCCCCCCAGGATACTCAACAAGAGCCCCAAGGGCTAAAAAACTCGTCCCTGGCAAATGACGACGGGTCGGACGGGTAGGGCGGGCGGTCGGGGCAGGTGCATCGAGAGGGACGGGCGCGGCGCTGCCGCGTCGCTTGCACGCGCGAGGTAGGATGGGTTTTCCATGCGGTGTCCCTGGGAGGTCTTGGCCCGTTCCCCGAAGAAGGTTGTTTGTTGTTCTGCGGACCTTGCTGCCCCTTCTCGAGGTGTCAGCGCGTGCGATCGGGGAACGCCATGCACATCGCTTTACAAATCCCCCTTCACCGAGAATTGAAAGCCACTGGGCCTCGTTGATCAAAATTACATTGCGCGCGGTGGCCTCAAGGAAACCGTCGAAACCACCAATACAACTGCCACGATGCTTGGTCGGAAAGCCTGAGCGGAAAGCCGTGTCGAATGGCACGCACGTGACTTTACAATTCCCTCTTCGCCGAAAACGGCTCGGTGGCATCATGGAAACCGTCCAAGACACCCAAAAAACTGCCACGATGCTCGGGCGGAATACCTGAAACACATCAAGGGCAAAATGGCCCCCGTGAGCGAGCCCTGGGCCATCCAGCTCCCGTTCAGCCCAACAGCGCGCCCTTGCTCGACTTGTCATGCGTGATCTGGTAAATCACAAGGCCCACGCCGCACTTGGAGATGATGTCTGGTACGTAATGGGTAATCTGGATGGCGACGACGGCCTGCGCGGCAGTGATGCCGAACATCGGGAATAAGTCGACAACTGGGTAGGCACACCAGCTGATCACCGTCAGCACCTGAGCCACTGCGATGACACTATGCAAACATAACCCAAGGCGGGCTGGTCGAGAACCTTGAACCGCACCAATGCCATCGCACAAACCCCTGTCATGCCGACTATGTCCGGAAATGGCCCCCGTGCTGCGACATGTGCGCAGGGTGATCCGCGCCCGCCAGCGGCAACACGACGCGCGATGCCTTAGCTGGCTTGGTCGCAAAGGCACGTGCGCCGCTAAAGCTGCTGCCGTTACCAGCAGCGCAGTGTCTGCCTGGGCGAAGGATGGCACGCACGGCGCGAACCCTCGAACAGCATCGCCAATAACCGTGGTGACAACGCGACGTCCGATAGACGCGAAGTGGCACGCGCGGAGCGAGGTACAAGCCCCCTCGGAAACACAGGAAACAACCTTCCCGCTAGCCGAATGGCACGAACCAAAGCTCGACCGACATTGACACTGGATTATAGTTTCGCTGGCCGACGCTTTGGAAGGAGGTGCAGATAGATGGCCGTCTACAGAAGCCCTACATCCAACAAGAATGGGCGCCTCGTTTCCCCTTCCACCGCCTTTCGCCGACTTTCCGTCGACGCACCCGCCACCATTTGGATTCCAACGTGGGTTTGCTATATAGAGGGCCACGAAGGAGAAGAAAGCAAACATTCTGCGTATCAGTGCATAAGCGGTCTGGCGAAATTGGGTGTCATCAGCGCGACGCCAAATGAGTGTCGTGGAATCGAGCTTTTGGCCTGGACGCACGCCGCGCACGATAACCCTGATAGTTAACTTATGCAACCGATCGTTGCTCTGGGGGGTACACGGACATGTAAAACACCGATGAGCTGAGCGTTAGATGGCGCCCGCCTCGCCTTCATGCCCCATCCCCCGCCTCCTCCCGACATCCCTTCGTTTTCGCCCCACCTTCCTCGTGCCCTTCCGAATCTTACCTGTCCTCATCATGCCCCTCGTCCTCATTTTCAACTCCCCCATCAGCCGGTTCATGTCGTTCCTCTTCGTCCTCCTCCGCCAGATGTCCCCCCCCTTATCATCCACATCCCTGCCCTCCTCCCATCCTCCATGCCCTCCCCACGCCTTCCTCGTCCTCAGGATGCACACGCCGATGATGCAACTCCTCCTGGGCCAATGTCCTCCCCTCTCGTCCTGTCCCTTTCATCCCCCGGCCCCTTCGCCACCCATCCTCTCGAACTCTTGCCCTCCCATACTCCCATAGACCCCAAATGCCCGCGCTTTTGCCCCCCCCAGACCACGGACTCTTCCTGGACCAACCTGGAGATCCGCGGGAACTCCCACCCACCGCCAACTCCAGCTAGTGGCGCGCAACACATGTACGCTTGGGCACAAGAACTGTACTTCGACAGCGTACAACGCCCCCCCCCCTGGACCAGCCGAAAGAGAACGCAAAAATTCCCGAACGGTCAACACCACCCGCAAGGGGCACACTCCAAATACACGGATGGGAACAAAATCTGTGTGCGAAGATCACACCACGACCTGTGTAAACAGTGGATTCCCACACGAGAATGCACAGCTGAAGACACCAAGTGTATACACAGGTCACACATTGATCCCTGCATTCCGAAAAAATAAACGTTCACCACCTCGAAGGTACCCCAGCTTTGTCAAGCCAGAACCGAAGCCGACGTGCCCAGCTAGGCCGGAATGCGAATACAAGCTTTCCTGGCCCAGGGCTGCCCTGAGGGGGCTGCAAATACACGCTTCACTGACCCAGGGCGGCCACGGTGAAATGCAGCACCGGAGCGGCCTCCAACCGCCCCAAGACGCACTGAGAGGGCCCCGAAGGAACTTAACAAAAAAAACCCGCGGCGGCCCGAGAACACGAGAGGCGTCACATGTCACGGAACTCTCAACAGCCAGAATTTCACGCGTCGCCATACAAGCCGCTGCGCTGGTAAGGGGGCGGGCCTTGCCGCTGGCGCCTATAAATCTACAGGTTAGCGATGCGACTGCGTGTTGGCGGCCGTCGCCGCCCACGCTCGGAGTGCACCCCAGACGTTTGCATTGGCAATCCCTTCTGTTTGGTTGCGTCGTTTTGCTCGGATATAGAACGGGCGGTATATCGCTGATACGGGCACGCGGCAGCAGGGACTGCACAGCCCCTTCTTCGAAAAAGGGAAGACAGCGTAGGACGACGGACGGCGGAGTAGGGACGAGGCACGAGGAATAATGGGGGAGTTGAAAGGGGCGTTCTCCCGCCCGGGCCGCGAACGTTGTCGACACCATCCAGGGGGGGAGAAAAAAAGAGGGGAACGGAGCAAGGGGGAGGACGACGACGGGAGGCAAATTGTCCTCGGTCCGCATGAAGCCACATGCTTGCGATTGGGGTGCGCGCGCTTTCTTCGAGGCACGTCAAGCCCGATGCATACTGAACTCACCAATTTCCCCCGACTGTGTAAATGAAGGTGAAGCACTTTCTCTAAGGCAAATCGCTTTCACATTGCATATTGCGGACTCAGGCCAACTCCGAGCATCGCAACAGACGACGGCGAGAACGTAGCATCAACCTGATCGCAGTGAAGAGGAGAGCATAGAGCTCCCTCGAGGGCCCAGAATAGGCGTGCCTCAAGAAACACGCAACAGCCGTTGCCGCCAACGGTACACGAATGCATGTCGACGTGGGCTCCGTCCATAAGACAAAACGACAACGACGCGCCTCAGAATGCTGGCGAGAAAAAGCGTTCAGGAGGCAACTGCCCAAAGTTTTCACTAAGGGCCACTAAGCCTGATTGATAGGCTATCAAGCCGATTCACGCTGGACTACGCCCTGGCTTAAGCCGGATTGCGCGGGACTTGTCCCGATTAGAACGTAGGAAAACAAGTTTGCGACAATCAAATGCCGCCTTCAAATCGGCATCGATCCCGCTCGCGGCAAGTGCATGCCGATTCAATCAGCCAATGGCTTGCCATGTGCACAAATAGCGCCCATGATACATCAGCAACGTCACTTGGTTTTTAAATCATAACTCGGGTTTCTGGCGGCCGTTCGTGTCGATATTGGCACCCAAGGAACGCTTTTGGAGAGGCGCAACTGCTGGAACTTATCTCGAGGCAAGAATACCCCCTGGAACCGCCATCGGAAAACGTCTAGCCGCGCACCAAGGGTCACTCTGGCGGAGGGCCACGCCTGGAGTCGTCTTGGCGTGTGAAAGGCCTTCCCCGTGTCGTCCATCGTAGTGTTGGTGCCCACTTTGACCTCACCACTCACGAGAAAGCTCAAGCTTAGTCCTCAATCGTGTCATCGGCGAAAGCGCGGGAGTTTCACATCAGCGTGCTGACAGGAGCGACGGAAGGTCCCAAAAACAACAAATCATCCCCAATCGACCGGTCGACAAAAAGACAAACGAACATCCTCGTACTTGGTATCGTCCGTGCTCACGGTGAGGTCGTAAGAATGAGGATCGGGGTCGTCCTGACACAAACGCTCCCAAACGGCAGAAGCTTCCTCGCTCTGCACGCGAGTCCGAACACGGCACGCAGACATATGCGCAGAAGAGCGAAGCTGCGACGAATAAGCCCAAACACATAAAAAAGGCACCTACGACGACGACGCACGCTGATGGGAACACTGGAACAAATACACACGAAACTACAACTTGGCTTTCCGCACGCGCACTCGCAACCACCACGAACAATGTCAACAAATAAACATCCCCCGTAGACCAGAATACATACGTTGGCACGATGTCACCCGACATTTACGTGTAGAATGCCCACTTCGATGAAACACGCATCACAAGACAACGTGCACATAATGCTCCCAGATCCCATGGTATTGCTGGACAACGTCCTTGCCGATTCGCGGTCGGTCGTCTGGCCTTGAGCACTTACTAAACGTAGCCAACTGACGAAATCCGTGCCCGCAACCGTTGCAACAAATCCCTCACGTTCGTGCGCACAATATGATGATGCCACAACGACACTGTTTCGGGCCGAACGCCGAATTTCTGCGCTCACCGCTCCGCGTGTGCCGTCAGAAATACATTTCTGACGGCGGGGGAACAAATCCTGCCACAGCTGTCTACCGTAGGCAACCACATGGGAATCCGACCCCTGCAGGTCAGATGTTCGAAAAAAACACTGGGGTATTCGTAGCTTGAGGAATATATGCGCCAAAGTGATCCCAGCAGCGATTGGACCTGTAGGGGCTGGATTCGCAAGTGGTCGCAGACACCCTCTGCAGCGAACAAACGCGCGACGTAGACGTGCGAGGCGGCCGATGGGTCCTAATCACAAGCGTATCCATCACAACGAGTCCACAGCCAGGGCGGCGCTGGGTTGAAAGACGATGCCTTTCGCCCGGATCACCGCGTGCACCTCGCTCATCGGCGAGGGTGAAACCGGGCACTGGGCTCTGCCACTAAGCGGCCCCGACCGAACGCAACGCGAATACAAACGCCTCTACTCGGAGGGCCATTAGAAACAGCGGCGGTTCTTCCTAGCGCTTTTGTCATGTTTGGGCCTCTGCAGGTAGAAACGGTTGGACCCGCTTCGGAAAACAACCTGTCAAAAAATGGTTCCTGGGAAAGTTCCATGGACATGACCAGACGTCTGGGCTGAACGGGAGAGCCGCCAGTGTCTTAACGTATCTTCCTCCAGCAATGCCTCCATAGCATGGCAACACATGCTCTCGCCAAGGCTGGGCAACAGGTGTGGCCATTTAACGTCGTGGTATGGATGCTGGTTTCTGCGACGGTCCATTTCCGATGCGTGCACTGGCTGCACAGAGAGGCCCCCCCCTGGAATCAGCACAAGCAAATTTCCAGACCGACGGTTGCCTACAATGTCGTGTCGCACCACGCCGTTACTGGACGCACCGTTCGTCCGCCATTGCTTTCGGCGGTCGTGCACCCGAGCCAGCCCTTTCACAAACTCACGGAGCACTCGAACGTCAGCGGGTCGAAGCAACTGTGAGGCTGTTTTCAACTGGTCCTGTGCCTCCCCCTGGGGCCTTCCTGGCCTTGCGATTGGCGCTCTCCTTGCAATCCTGCCTTGAGGCCACGGGAAGAACTCTCCCGCCATGGCTCTGCTGCTGGGCAAGAGGAGGTGGTGGTGGATGGAGCGCGTGAGGGATGACTACTTGCACCCAGTGGCAACAACGGTCCCCCATCATCCTTCTTGTCGCCTCCTCCTCTTGGTCTTCTCATCGGAACTCGTCCTCCTCCACCCTCCTCTCCATGCTGTGGTTGCCAACGAACTCCAGGGAACTCCTCCACCCTCCTGCGCACTACTACCAAAGTCGCTCAAAAACGGTGACATGGCCCCTCCCAGGGTCCATCCTGGAAAAGTTTTCACCCTGGATGCTCGTGATGGTCCTGGGGCCTGAAATGGGCCTCCGAATGTTGAGGATGAGAAAAGCGGGGGCGTCCAAGAGGGGGGCGACCAAGAGGGGGGGCGCTAATCATGGCCGGCAGCACGTGCGCGGCCCAGGGGTGGGGCTGGGGACTGTATAAAATAAGAAGAGGCGCCGTGAAACCTGGGGAGATATCATGGCCCTCGCCATGAAATCCCCCCCTAATCATCACACACCCGTGTTTGCCGCCCCCGATAAGAAAGCCCCGTCGAAACTCCTTTTCTCCTCCTCCATTCTTTTCCTTATAAACTCATCCTTGTCGCACCCCGAAGCCAGCCCAAGGGCGGGCCGGGCGTTTCGCCCGAGACTTCTTTACCATTTCTGATCCTGAAGCTGAGACATTGGTAACGGTTTGGCGGGTCGCTTCCAAAATGGAGGTCTCGCCGTAGTGCCGCGCACATTCGTTTCAAACAACTGCAAGAATGCAACGGATTGTTGACATATAGTTTCGAAACTGTGGTTCTCGCCTTAGCGACGCGAACTTCCGTATTTACACATTGCAAGAACTCCACGGATTGAGGACAGGTTGTCTTCAACATGTGGCTCCGGCCTTAGCGACGCGCACTTTCGCCTTGGAAATTCGTAAGAGATTCACTGGTTGAGGGCGGGCCGTTTTCAACCTGTGGATATCACCTTAATGCCGCACACATTGGTTTTAAACATTTGCCATAGTTCCATGGGCTCCCCCGGTTAACGTCCCAGAAACAGTGTTTCGGGGGGCGATTCAGGATTGTCAGGGCGCAACAGTTACGTTGATTCGCGGTGTTGAAATACCAGGAATGGTGATCTGGCCCGACTCAGGGTCGTCAAGACGCAGCAGCTAGTTTGATTCGTTGCGTTGAAGTCCCAAGAGTGGTGTTTTGGCACGCGTCAGAACTTCAATCGGTTCTCCGAACGGGGTACTTCCCTCAGAGGAAATGAACCTTGGGACCTATGAGGGGGGAGCTTGGAATAAGGGTTTACGTAAACATCGCTGATGAGTCTTTGATATCCCCTGGTCCTCCTCCTCCTCTTCCTCCTCTTCATCGTCGTCTTCCTCCTCCGCCTCCTGCTCCGCGCTCGCACCAATCTCAAAACGCCGAACCGGGGTATCCGTTTACCTCCTGCTACCATCCGATCACCCCCGTCCTCATCCAATCACCCCCCCTCCCGTTCCCCCCTCCTCTACCGCCTCCTCCGCAGTCGCCTTCGCCTCCTCACCCTCGTTTCCTCTTTCCTCCTTACACTCCTCCTCATCCTTCCTTCGTCATCCCTCCTTTGCGCTCCCCCCTGAAGCCCGCTAGAATCCGGTTGAAGCACCTCGATTCCTAGGTTCCCTCGTCTTGCTTTGTCCTGATCCTCATCGTCCTCGGTCCTCCCACTCCTCTTTCCCCGCCCTCCTCCTCCCACATCCCTTCTCCGTCCCGGCAATATCAAAAATAAGTTGTTAAATTCACTGGATTCCCACAAAAAACCAGAACTTCCCTCCTTCGCCCCATTGCGCCCACAATCCAAGCCCGCGCCTGGCGCGCTGGACGGTGGAGGAGGCGCCGCCACGGGGGGGGGCCCAGCGCCGATCCAAGACATCCGCGCGGAACTCCGAACGTGTATGTTCATTCAACCGTTTCTGCGGGAACAAGCGCCTGGAACTCTGTGGGCGCTTCTTGTTCCTCTCCGCGACCTCCGCCGAGACCTCGTGCATGCGGCGCCTGAACTTGCCGTGCAGCTCGCGGGCCTCGCTCGGTTGGCAGGGTGCGCGGGTCTGGAACAAGCGCGGGGCAGCACAAGGACGTCAGAGGACAACTCAGGGCTCGAGCTAACAATTGTTATTCGTTTTCGTATGTTTTCGGTCTTGCTTCCTTATGTCTTCGTTCTGCCTTTGCTGCGAAGCCAGCACCAAGCGAAAACGGTCCACGAAGTCGCCAAAACACGGCTTAGTTCGAGCCCTGCAACAACTCACAGGAGCTCTTGGTCGTCCCCATCGCGCCCAACAGCGCGTCAGTGTCGCGAAAAGCGGACGTGATACATCACCCTCATTTGGCGTCCTTGGGCGATACTGGGCGCCATTTGGGCGGTATCCGGCGGTATTGAGCGTTATTGGGCGCGTTGCACGCGCTTTGGGTCACTACTGGACGCAATTGGCCGACATACATATAATGCAGCACGAGCAGAAGCATCCCTGACGTCATATCTAGGACATACTGTTCGGAAGCGACTCCTTGGAGGGTTAAGAACGATTCAGGGCGCCGAACTAAAGGGCCATGAAGCACGGGTACATCAACACCGGTTCTGAATTTACCACGAGTTGCATCCGAAATATTGTCCAGAATTCCAGGTTACATGACTTGGGAAACAAATCCTCGGAGGCCTGTGGAAACGACCGATTTCCACTCAGCCCGATTGAAGGGACTCTGGACAGACTCAAACAAGATTCGGTCGAATACTGAGCCAGATTAGCCAGCACCATGCCGGATGCAGCCACTTCGGCCACGGATATACCAGCGCCAGTACTGAATGCAACCTCCCAAGAGTTGCAACCTACTATGTTCAATAGAAAAATCATCCAATCAGAAAATCCGCCGGCCCCCTTGTGGGGCCACAAGGCTGCAGGGCGAAGGTTCGCAGTTTCCTGTAACAGTTGCAGCTTCCAGTTTCCACTGTTACAATTCTGCTTCTTGCTGCTTACTGTTCCTTGTTGATATCTTGCTGCTTACTGTTCCTTGTTGATGGACCACGCGAGGAGGGGAGGCCCAAAACGGCAATTTTTCCCCCGGCCAAAACGTATTGTCTGAATTGCTGGGGTGATTAAAAATTGACACCCCTCACGCAGATCGGCGGGGTCGGGGTCCAAAAACATCGGAATTTACCAGGGGCAGGGTTTAAAAGGATAAAGGATTTGCCGCATTTCTGTATTCCGGCGGCACCCCTCACGCAGACCGGCAGGGTCAGGGTGCAAAAACAGAAAGGATTTGCCACATTTCTGACATTCGGCGGCACCCCTCACGCAGATCGGCGGGGTCAGGGTCCAAAAACATACGGGATTTGCCACATGTCTGAAACTCGGCGGCACCCCTCACACAGATCGGCGGGGTCAGGGTCCAAAAACATAAAGGATTTGCTACATTTCTGAAATTCGGCGGCACCCCTCACGCAGATCCGTCGGGTCAGGGTCCAAAAACACATGGGATTTGCCACATTTCTGAAATTCGGCGGCACCCCTCACGCAGATCGGCAGGGTCAAGGTGCAAAAACACATGGGATTTGCCACATGTCTAAGATTCGGTGGAACCCCTCACGCAGATCGGCAAGGTCAGGGTGCAAAAACAGAAAGGATTTGCCACGTTTCTGAAATTCGGCGGCACCCCTCACGCAGATCGGCGGGGTCAGGGTCCAAAAACACATGGGATTTGCTACATGTCTGACATTCGGCGGCACCCCTCACGCAGATCCGTAGGGTCAGGGTCCAAAAACACATGGGATTTGCCACATTTCTGAAATTCGGCGGCACCCCTTACGCAGATCCGTAGGGTCAGGGTCGAGAAACAAACAGGTCCCGACACTGCTTCACGGCGGCGCCCAGACCCCATGATTTAGCTTTTGCATCTCCCATTATCTGAGACAGGGGGGCGGCGGCATGGGGCGAAGCCCTTACGGATATATCACCGGATAACACCCCAGACAACCCATGCTAACTAACGACGACAAGACAACCTACCCTGGACAATCCCTTGAACAACCCAGCGGGGATCCAGACTACCTCCCCGGACAACCCCCCTTGGACGAGCCTCCCAGGGGATTCCCTTCCATAAGAGCTAATAAGCCCGATTGGCCAGCCCGAGTAGCCAGACCTATGCCCGATGCAGCCACTTCGGCCACGGATATACCAGCGCCGATGCTGCTTTCAACCTCCCGGGACTTGCAATCTAGGTTCGAGTTCACCTAACTTCACAGGTCAGGCCTCCGATGTACGACGAGGGCTCGTCTTCGCGCTCGCGCGCGGGCACCCCGGTTAAGGGCAGCTTCACGGCCGCCCGCGGCGACGCGCTGAGCGCGGTCATCATCTTTTCCCCCGCGGGTGACCTGGGAGCTCATGTGGCTTTGTGAACGCGCCCCGAGGAAAGAATAGCTGGAAGCTGCTGGCACACACCAGATCAGTAAGGCAGAAAGGGGGCCGCGAATCGTGGTCCCTGGGTCCGGGACGGTCCATGTTTCTCTTGGCTGCTTGCTGGTTAGTTGCTCGTGGCCCTGTCTTGCACAATGGAGAACAAGATTGCATGTTTGTGCGTCAACTGGTCTGCCTTGTGTAGGTCTGCGATGTGCAATCGCCTGCCCTGGTTTACGCTAAAATGCTGTCCAACCGCGTTGAATTGAAATGTTGTTTGTTTGCTCCGCTTTCGAATGGATTCGATATGGTGAGGCGGCACCTCTTCGCTTGGAGCTGATATGAATGTCTATATGTTTCATGGCGTGTTGCATTGCGTTTATTTGGTTTCAATCAGCGTGTGTATGTGCATCTGGACTTCCAATTCTCTGCTTTACTCCGGGCTGTCTGGTTGTCTGTTTGATTTGGCAAGTGCTGCGTTACACTACTTCGTAGCAAGCGGAATATAGTCGAGAGGAAAGTAACAGACTGGTCAAATGCAGGCTAAAGGCTAGCCAAAGGGCAACGACAAACGAACGAATTGAACTCTAAAGGCAACCCAACCATGCCCGGGCCACAATACCCGTTGACTATGGCCTACATCTAACACAATGCTTGCGCACCCTAAGTTTTGTGTGCGCATCTGCGAGGCGGGGATTATGCGAATCCACAGCCTGGGAACCGCCGTCCTGGGGACCCACCTGGCAGGGGATATGGATATAGTCTGGCCCAAGGGGCCCGAATATATCCATATCCAACGCCTGTGAAGGTCCGCGAAGGTCGATCCGATCCTGGGGCGGTGGTTATGGATAAATCCCCATCTCCCAACATCGGTGGTACATCTTCTCAGAGTGCAAAAACATGACACGTTCACCAACGATGCCAATGCCCCCGGAACCAATACTGCCAACCGCCACAACTGAAGACCTGATCAGAAACGCCAGCCCAACACGGTTAATTGCGCCACCCTGTGCGCGTAATCAAAATACAAAAGACCACCAACGATGACTCAATCCAGAACCGGCTTCGTCCGTGTTCTTGAAAAGTATTGCATCCCGTGTGGCTTCGTGGTGTCATCTGCTTTGTTGCTCATCGCCACTGCTTACTTCTATCGGACACCTCCTATCTACCCCCTTTTGGTCTCCTCCTCAACGTCTTTTTCTTGCGGGGTCGTACCATGAAAATAACTTACAGCACAAGTGTTCTTCAATACATCTTGTTCTCCCATGACAGCTCTCAGCCCCAGATGGTGCATCCGTGCATCCTCGAGCACGGCGAGGAGTCAGTGCGCCTTGCTTGTCTGCGTCGTTCCAAATGCGCTGCAACGGCGTGCAACCGCATGCGACGGCGCACACCCATCAGTTCTAATAGGGGGCACCTTCGTGGTTCGGATAACGCTGCCCGTCGCAACGAATTGCACAGCGTCGGAAGACCCAGTCTGGAAGGTACGGCGCACGTCCAGGAGCGTATCGCCGCTCTGTTCACACAGATATGCCTGTGCCCCCGATGCAGTGCGCTTCCAGCAGCGCCCACTGCGTACTGCGAACAAACAGAGAGGAGGGGCTTGCGACGGGCAGGAGGAGGGGAAGGGAAAGGGGAAGGGAAGGATGGATTCGGGAGGGAAATGGGAAGGGAAAGGAAAGGGGAAGGGAAAGGTAACGGGGAAGGGGGGAAGGGACAGGAAGGGACAGGAACGGGAAGGGAAGGGAAAGGGGAAGGGAAAGGGGAAGGAACAGGAAGGGCCAGGGGAAGGGAAGGATGGATTCACTTGGACGGGCCCCTGGTGGCCTGCTCTGGGGGCGCGGCTGCTCTGCCAAACGGCTCGGCTGCGAATCTGGCCCCTCACACGATCCTGCAATGCCCCCTTTCTGCTTCTCCGTGACATCCGCTTCCCAACCACTTCTGTTGAGTTTCCGTGCGACCCTTTGGAATGGGATTCTTTCGTTTTCGCGCAACATAACATTGCCAGGGTGGGAAACATTTTCTGTTGGACTCTGTTGTCAGTTTTGCACGATCGCGGAACAAACATTTTGGCTGCCGGATTTCGGGAAAACTTGTTCTTGTGCGAAAAATATGAACCACTGCGCCTCTGGACAACGACTGCCCAGGTCGACCGGTTGCAGCAAAACGTGTGATCGGCGACAGAGCTGCCCCACCGACCAGTGGAAGAGCGCTGCGCCGAGGTTTCGCATGCTATTCGAGAGGCCGCTCGGGGACGCATCCGGGCGGTGAGCAGAGGGACCCCAGAGGAGTCATGCTCATGCTCCTCCTTTCCTCTCTACCTTCACCCTTTTCCTCTTCTCCCCTCCTCAGCTTCAGCAAGAGTTGCCCCCGACGTGTCGAATCGCCTTCCTGGTCATCCTCTGCCGCCACCCATCGGTTGCTGTTTTGACTCCAGCCCCCCTTAGCCGAATCGGACATGTTTGTTTCCCTGGGGGTCGCGGGGCCGCCGCGCCCACTTCCGCGTGAGTTCTCGTGCTGGCGTATGGGCCACTCCCGCGAGCCAGCCCTCGGGCAGCAGCGGCGCGCGTGCGCCAGACGGCGAACCAAAAACATTGGTTGTGTTGATGCTGTTTCCTTTGATTGATTTAGGT